GAGAAACTAAGTTATTTGTTCAAAAAACCATAGTGAGTAGAATTGCCAATTTCGTATTTTAACCTTCAGATTCAAAGCTTCTCTCTGATCTAAATGGTGAAGTCGTAATGAGATTATAGAGTGTCTCAGGTGGGGCAGCAGTCTTTGCCTCCTCCTCCTCCTCCTCCTCCTCCTCCTCCTCCTCCTCCTCTTCCTCCTCCTCCTCCTCCTCCTCCTCCTCCTCCTTTTCCTCTGCCTTCCCATCCTCCTTCTCCATCTCTCCTCTTCTTCCTGCTCTTCCTCCTCCTCTTATTTCTTCTCCTCCTCCTCATCCTCCTTCTTCTCCTCCTCTTCCTCTTCTTCCTTCTCCTCCTCCTCGTTCTTCTCCTCCTCCTCCTCGTCCTTCTCCTCCTCGTCCTTCTGTTCCTCCTCCTCCTCCTCCTCCTCCTCCTCCTCCTCCTCCTCCTCCTCCTCCTCCTCCTCCATCTCTTCTCTTCCTCTTCTTCCTCCTCCTCCTCCTCCTTCTCCTCCACTTCCCCTTTCTTCAAAACTGGGAAACTCTCACCTGCATTGTCTTGAAACCTCTTTGATGAGGTATAATTGTGGGGAGCTGTAACACATGTCTGTACTTATATCCAATCTCAATTGCTTTTAATACTGTTTCTTGTACCTAAATAGTATGCCAGTGAGGCTCTACTTTGCTTTTAGAGTCTGTCTTCGATTATTTGTTTTTCCTGGAAGATCCCTGTGTTTCTTGGATATTGTGTTTCTGACCCATCGCATACAGTGTTCTGTTGCTCCTATAGAGATACACATGCTGTTTAGCTCAATATTCAACATTTAATCATTGCATCTTAAGAGAATTATCCACGAATAAGCTATAATGTGTGGTATGCACTTCACATATACACTTTACAATGTAATCTTTTTATTCACTAAGATTCGCAGTTCATGTTGCCACTAGTTTAGTTTTCTATGCTCCCGCCACTACTGATGTATCGTCTGATAGAAGCAGTTCTCTCTCCTTGTGCTTAAAATATTTCAATGTGATATTAGAGATTTCAACTCTGGGACAATCCACTAGAGCATTAAAACAGGCAACACAAATGCAGGCAGCATGGCAAAATTACTTAGAAATGATGTATCAGGGTCACTGGGGGCCTGGATTCTTTAGACTCCCTGGGAGTACCCCCTAGTTTGAGAGCTGGAGTAGCTCTTGCCCCTGGTCCTATGCCCCAGGAGCCTTCAGTTTGTCCAAACTGAAAAGAAGTGTCCTGAGAGACACAGTCTGCCTAGTTCTTGTGTAAGGAACCGAGAAGGAATAACAAAAAAAATCCTGGCAAAAGTCAGCAGTGGAATTTGAAAAGCATGCCATTCCAGATGTGAAAATACCAGTTGTACCACAATGGTTGGCTACCCACACGTACTACACAAAAATACGATGGGCTGCTAGTATAAAATTCAATGAAACTTCATGCTAAAAATAGATGATTTTGACGGCTTAGAATTGGTGTGCAGCTAATCCCTGTACATTTCTTTCAATTTGCTCTGTCAAGGGCCTGAACGTAATTCCATTTGAATGACATTTAAAAGTACCATGGTCATCACAAAAGGAAAGGGAGGGCCTGAGTCAGAGGCTTTATATCCCAGAGTAATGCAAGGAACTCTTCAGACTCACCCAGCCGGCTGCTAACTTCCTCTATGAAGAGAGTAAGGTAAATATTTCTGAAGCACACAGCTTAAATCTGGAGGGGCGGGGAGACAGAGGAGAGAGAGAAGTTAGAGCATAGTGACTTCTCTATACTTGAGTCTAAACTCATTAAATCATATGGCATTTGTGTGAATTCTGTTGTTAGATTCTCTTGGTCTGAACTGCTTGAGGTTGACTTTATGTGACATGTTGTGGGAAGAATGACAGGTACCACCATGTAGAGAGAGTGACCACAGACTTCCTGTTCCATGTGGGGAGTTGTGTACAAACTAGGTTCTGTATTTCCACTGTGAAAAGTGTTGATTTATTTGGTTTGCTTTGGGACCACACCAGGTGGTGCTCAGGGTTTCCTCCTGGCTCTGAGCTCTGGGATCCCAGTCCTGGTGGTGTGCAGGGATGGAGCCAGGGTCAGACTTGGCTCTGCAAATCAGGTGCCTTACCCCTTTGCTGTCTCTCCAGCCCCACAATTTTTAATTTAGAATTGAATTTTGTTTTAATCATCCAATGTGGTGCTCATCTGGTTAGGGATCTATCATGATTGAGTTCCATGTTTTTAAAAGAAAGGGAAACATTTGAAAATATCTTTGTAATGAAGAAACTGCACAGCATACAATTTAATTTATATGATGGGGTCGAAAATTAAATGTGTTCACTAGTAGTTACCCATTTTCTCCCTGTATGTATATATGCATGTTTATAGTTTGGTAGATATAGTTTGTTTCAAAATGATGTACCACAAAATACTATTTTCCCTTGTACAGACAATATTATAGTAAAAGTAGATAATTTTTTAACGAAATATTTATGAAACATGATTTTTTCATTAGTTATGATAATTTAAGTCTGTAAATGTTTATCATACTTTCATGTTTAATTCCATTTTTTTGTCCTTAATTTTTCTTATGTTTTATGAAAAATATTTTTTGCTCTATAAAAAGGTTATAAAAAGTTCGATATAACATCAAAAATTAGTGAGAACATAGGTATTTTTTGTTTTGCCATAGGTAGCATGTTGACTATAGGAAGTTTCTTAGATTAAAATCTATCATAAATAAGAAACAGTCTTCAAAGACCCACTGGTTTTTAGATTCTTAAATCTTGTTATTAGGGACTGAGAAATCATGATTATTTAAAAATTTGTTTTGACTTAGGAAACTTTAATTTGACCACATACCTGTATTTTAAGTTAAACATTCATGCAAAGAACTTAGGATATGGTACATATTCATAAAATAAAACAATAATCTAGAACAAAGTTCTTTTGTAATTTGAAAATAATTTTCTTACAGAGCTATGTCAGAGCAATGGTATACTGGTAGAGTTATAATAATATTTTTGTTAAAATAACATTGTTTTCCTTTTCAACTTTCATTATGCAACTGGGACTTCAGTCATTGGATGTTGAGGATGGATTGTTTGAATTTGTGCTTGTTAATACCTTAAAATTGTGAAAAGTAATTAAAGGGAAAAATTAGAGTTTTGGTATCAAGCTAATATTTATTTGACACCTTGTGATAAATGTTGAATATTTGCTGGTGGAATTCAGACTTTACGCCAGATATGAAAGAAACATACTTTCAGTTTTGGCTTACAGAGCAGTTATATAGAGAAAGATAGTAAAAAAAATAATTATGTGAGGTGGAACATACACTTTGGTATTTATTTTCAAAGTGGATGAACGTGTCTTTACAAGAATGTTAAGGATATATCATCTAGTGCCATTTATCATTTTAAATGTTATTGCTCAAGAATTTACAGTGGTCTAGAAGATCTCACTCAACTTTCTCGTAGTGATTACTTATCTAGTAGCGTTTCTTTGCCATTATTTTAGCTGAGACATAAAAGTTTGTATGCTTTTGCCTGAAGTAAACAAATTTATATATGGTTGTTCTTTTTTTCAAGGAAATGCTAGTTTTGTGAGAGGATTTCTAGGATGATTAAAATAAAGGCAAGTGAAAAATTGTGACTACTACTTGTTAAGTTATTTAAAGAATGACTTTTTAAAAACATGAAAGGGTCCTATCCTTAGGGTATAAAATAGTAAAACAAATTTATAGGAGAGATGGGAAGAAGCTTTTTTTTGACTCTGGAGAAGCCCGTGTTCTCTTTTGAGAACATTTCTCTCTCTCTTTTCAAAATTCTTTAAGTAGCTTTTTAAAAATAAAAGATATTTTACTTAAAAAAATTGGGGCATGAAATGAGAAAAACTACACTATAAAGAGCATTTATACTTTGTGATATGAATCTGTCAAGGACCTCCAGTGAACCTTGGAGGTGGGTAACAACACAGGCTTATTTTGAAGTCTTTCTGGTTTTTTTTCTTACCTACATAGCATGATGACATATACTTACAGTGCGCTATTAAATATTCTTCTAACTATAAATATTTGGAAATAATTATTATCATTTTCGATTTTGAAATTACTTTCTAAGAGTGATTTATTTCCTTTACTATAATTTTCATCAACCAGCAGCATCAAGTCTAGGAAGTAGTTTGATGAGAGACCAAAAGAACCTAACATACATTTTTGCTCTAAAATTAAGGCAATTATTTAAAAACTATTTATCCCAAATTACGATGATTGAGAAGGTATGCACTAGAGCCTACTGGAGGGAGTGTTGAATGTAATATTAATTTGATTGTAAGTAGTATTTCACTCTATTTAAGCTTACAAACACAGGGTGATTTGAGAGTATGAATAATGGAATAATAGCATATCACATATATATGTAACAGTGTAGATAGGGGTAATAGCATGTAGTCATTGTCTCTAGATGCATAAATGAAGCTGTAAAAGTGCCGAAGACAGACATAGCATCAAGGGGAAGGGCAGATGAGTCCTGGCTACGAGTCTGAGCCCCCTGGCAGAAACGCAGAGATATTGCTCTGAAGAATGTCAATGTAGAAAAGACTCTTATCAGGCCTGCTAGAAAAGACAGTTTCACAGGGATGTAAGAGGTGTATTGCCCCCATAAACGGTATCTCATCACTCTACGTTGTTGGCTAGAGCCAAGGCAGAAGAAATGGAACTTCACCTTTAAAAGTCAATGAATAGGGGCTGGAGCAATAGCACAGCGGGTAGGGTGTTTCCCTTGCACTTGACAGACCCGGGTTCGATTCCCAGCATCCCACATGGTCCCCCGAGCATCGACAGGAGTAATTCCTGAGTACAAAGCCAGGAGTAATCCCTGTGTATTGCCGGGTGTGAGCCAAAAAAGTCAATGAATATTGAAAGCCTAGTTCTGACAGATAATGCTTCGATACTCATTTCGTTTCCTTCTTGTCCTATAGGCTGCACTCCCTTCCACAATGGCCTCCCTTGCTGCAGCAAATGCAGAATTTTGCTTCAACCTGTTCCGAGAGATGGACAATAACCAGGGCACTGGAAACGTCTTCTTCTCTTCTCTGAGCATCTTCACTGCCCTGGCCCTGGTCCGGCTGGGCGCGCGAGGCGATTGTGCTGCCCAGATTGATAAGGTCAGTTGTGGAGGTGCCACCGCCCATGGCTTCAGGCACTCGGCATGACAGCAAATTGTTTTTCCCCTAGAGCCTTACTCCAATGGTCCCTGGAAATGATAACACATACCTTTAGTACTGTTGGGCTCAGTTCTTCGGTATTTAGGTGCTGGTCTCCCCGCCCACAGTCCTCGGATCCTCATTCTTGAGTTCCACCAGCTCTGGCTTGAAGCTGGTTGAATCAATGAATGGATCTATGCATGTGACACCAGTGGCTCCCAAGGAATAGACCCTTAATTAGTCATGGATTTACAGCATAATATTTTCCCAAGCGTTTCCTACGGAGGCAGCAGCAACACCTGGAGAATCTGTTGAGATGTAAAAGTTTGGGCTTTACTCCAGATTCAAATGAGTCAGAAATATTTTCCCAGGACCAGCAATGTGTTTTATTTTTTAAATAAACTCTCCAGGTGCACATGAAAGCAGGGATCACTGCCTAAGACATGTGGATGAGAAAGAAGTCAAAGGAGAGGCTAATGAAGTCCCAGTTTAGGTGCAATTTAGGAGACATGGACACCAATGACATATTAGCAATTGCAGAGAGTTGCCTGCCTGGGTCCTCATCACAGTGTCGCCCACACCAAATTCAAAATGCTTATGAACTCACCTGTGCATGTCCCTGAATCAGACAGCGTAGCCAGTGACGGGTCAGGCTTTCCTCCCCCGGGAGCTAATAGGCCACATAGCAGGTCCCAGCTCCATCTGCAGACCTTGTGTCTCTTTCTACTCACAAATGCCTCTCCTTATTTTAGTTCATAGATGAGAGCTGGCCTGAGAGACCCTGGTGTAACCATCTCACCCAAGGACTCATGGAGAATTATTTGCATAGATAATATAGTTAGATATATCACGTAGATATATTGCATAATATATCTCTGTGACTAGAGTCTTAGGGTGCCATTTTCTCAAGAACTGGAGTGGTTCACTAGTCCAGGTCACTGAGCATTTCACACTTAAGCTCCTGAATAACCAACCACTGACAACCAGCTCAGAGTCCGGCTCTGGGATGACTCTGTGAGTCTTACCTTAGCTTGAATTCATACGCTGGAGTAGGTAATAACTCCAATGGGTAAAAGGGGCGTCAGTCCTTCTCTCTGATAGTGAATGGCAGAGCTACAATCCAAACGGAGTGAGAGGATTCTAAGCAGGGCTTCTACCCCTCACTCTATTGACACTTAGGCTCAGACAAATCTTTGTGTTGGGGGCTGTGGTCTGTATTGTTTGAACTTTGTTAGAGTTCTTGACTTTCCCCCCTTTAAGTACCATTGATGTCTCTCTCCAGTTATAGCAAGCAAGTTTATCTCCAGAAACTTTCAAATATAACCTGCAAGACAGAATCACTCTCCCTCCAACACCTCACATTGAACACCTTTTACTTTATTTATTTATTTGTGAATCACCATGAGATACAGTTGTAGACTTACAAGTTTTTGTGCTTGGGTTTCAGTTATACAATAATCGAGTACCCATCCCACCACCAGTGCCCATTCTCCACTCCTACCAATCTCACTATCCCTCCCACCCCCCATCCCCCATTCTACCCTGCCTCTGTGGCAGGGCACTCCCTTTTGTTCTCTCCTTTTGGGTGCTGTGGTTTGCATAAGAGGCATTGGGTGGCAATCATGTTCGGTCTAGAGTCTACTTTCAGCATGCTTCTCCTGTCCTGGGCGGATCTTCCCAGCACCCTTTATTTGGTGCTCCCTTCTCCATCTGAGCTGCCTTTACCCCTAGAGTGGAACACCTTTTATTTAAAATTACAAGCTGAAACAGTACAAAGTGTATGATTGTTGAAATAAAGCCAGTATTTTGATAAATGTAGAGCCTTTGAAAAAAATCTAGCAGCTAATATAAAGGGATGAATTCATTCATAAAAATACATGTCTTTCTTACAGCTAAGTGAGGCAACTGTTTAGAGATAGAGCACTGGGAGTTAGATTAGATCTAAATCCTAACCTTAGGAGCATTAGTTCATCTTTGTGGGACTCAGAGTCCTCACCTATAAACTAAGGGATTTCTTCGATGGTATGCGATTGAAAACGTTTTAAAGTGGTTCCTTTATGAATCACTTTAAAATGGTCCCTTCAGTCTGTGGCACAAAATGCATAGGGCTCATACCAATAATGGCACTTTGGCACTAAAAAAAGATACAGCTATTTACTATTAAATGATTTCTAGGCTGTTGTCTGTGGCATTTTCTAACACTTTTCTACCATGTAAAGGTCTGGTAGACCAGGGTGAAAGTTCACAGAAGGTGGGTAATAATGACTCCATGAGTTGACACCCTATTAAATCCTGCTCCTTCTTACCATTGATTACTACATGTAACTTCTGTTATTACAAATTCCTATAGGAACCACACAAGAGAATAAAAAACGCAACTATAGTTAAATATTTTTTTAATTTAAAATTTTTTCAACTACTTGAGGGGCTGGAGCGATAGCACAGCAGTAGGGCGTTTGCCTTGCGTACAGCCAGCCTGGCCGAGCCGGGTTTGATTCCTATGCCCCTCTCAGAGAGCCCAGTAAGCTACCGAGAGTATCTCACCTGCACGGCCAAGCCTGGCAAGATACCCATGATGTATTCAGTATGCCAAATACAGTAACAACAAGTCTCACTATGGAGACGTTACTGGGCCCACTAGAGCAAATTGATGAACAACGGGAGGACAGTGTTTGTTTGTTTGTTTTTCAACTATTTGTACAAATGTTCATTCCTCTGAAAATTATCCTTTCAGAAATGAATTTTCAGCTTCCCTCCCGTACTAGCCCAGTTAATGTCTCACTGTAACCTGGTCCTTGACAACTCATATTGTATATAATGTGTGTATATTAGAGAGAAACCCAGCCTGAACCCATTTCAATGAGATTTCTAGCTTCTCCATAAGATGCTTTTCTTTAAGTATCACTATGGACTGCTAGTCTCTTACATTTTGATGCTCAGATCAATGATCCCTTTGAGATTAGGAGAAAGCTCTATAAATGTGTCATTTTAAAGCAATACTTCAATAGGACTCTTCACCATCTTTCCTTTCTGACAAGATCTTCTGGTTTTGTCTTGACTTTTCCTGAGTCTGAGGAGGCTCAGCTATACACTATGAGGTCCTTGTTTCTTTACCAATAATATTATCAAGATAGTATTAGATAGTGGTATTAAAGTCCAGAACTGGCAGGTGGGAGAGTAAATGAACTTAAAACTCCATGGAACCTCCTCTCCTGTGGAGTGCGGTGGGGAATCCATATTTATGTACAAGATCACATGTTCAGCTCAAGCATTTAAAAATATTTAATATTATTGCATTTTATCTTCTTTTTATATAAGAAGCTTTAATATTATCCTCCCCTTTCTTTTCTCTCATGTAGCATTTCCACTGGAACGTGTCAAATATTTTTTCTACACCATGGTTTCATATCACAATACTATTTGACAGTTATACAACTTTGTATTTTCTAAAGCGATATTGGGTTTTGCCAGAGGCACTTAAAATAATCATCATGATATGGGAATAATTTGAAATAAGAGGGAAAGAGTTAGAATTCTGGAGAGCAAACCATCATTCAAAAGATTTTTCCACAAAACTATTTGTATCTTATTCAAAATAGAATAGCCCAAGGATCAATATAATTTTTGATACTTATGTCTTATTTGGTTAATTATTCCTCCCTCACCAGTTTCAAAAATCTGGAACTGGACCCTCCCACCCTAAGACTCTCATTTTAGGAAAGAAAGAGACAAAGGATCACCCAAATTCAAGATTGGTGGACACGGGCTGATGGCGACTGGTGCTCTCTCACACTCTCTCAGGGAGGCAATGACTTCCGGGGGCAACACCTTCTATTTCCATTCTGGAGACACTGAGAGAGAAGCATCGTCTATTTTCTAGCATCAGTATTGCAAAGGAGTAAGAATGAAAATAAATGAGAGTGATGTAGACTCATGCTGTTCTTTCCTCCTCTTCTTATAACAAAATAAGCAATTCCATTGAAGTGGATGTTCCTTGTTGAACTTTCTAATGACATGCTAGCACTTCATTGTTCACTCATGGAAGGAGGCTAAAGGAGCATTTACCCATGGTGAGAGTGTTACTTAATGACAACAAATTGACTTTAAAACTTTGAAGACAATTGCTTAAGACTTGAGTCTATGCAGTGCCTCCTCTTTCTATCCATTGGGAAGAGATAATGAACACATTCTTTAGGACATTGGAAGCATTCATGCTTGGCTCAGGACACAATGAGGGAGGTGACTTACAGTTTTCATTCTCCACAATAGCATGGAGCTGGGAGAGAAACAAATGACACCTGGGCTGTGTCCAGCGTGATGTCTTGATGCCTGCGAGGACCCCAATGGTAAATTTTAAATTGACCCCTAATTCATATCTCAAATTCATTTTGCCTAAGGTCTCACCTCATCTCGTGTGAATTATTATTTTAGATTAAGAAGCTGTGAATAGAAATTGAGGTAGGTTTCATATCTCTGTGACCAATTAAGATCAGATCTAAAGAAGTTGCTATTAGTGAGGTAGCTGAAGCTGTGGAGTTAAAAGTTTTTCACAGAAGCACTGGTAGCCACCTTGTCTAGTTTCCTTAAAGCCCTCCCCAAATCTCTTCAGCCAGGTTAGAAAAGTCTTTCATCCTTGGTCTTTGCTCCAATTCCTTACTGACATGGCAAAATTCAAACATAAGCACAAATGGGTCCCCCAAAGTCCAGAAGCTAATGGAAAATCCAATCACTGAGATTTTTGGAGCCACAACAGGGTCATCAACATAAACCTCCATCATCTGACACTTTTATTAGAACTTTCATACATTTGGTCGGAGGAATGTAAGTTGCACGAACTCTGGGTTGGCACAGTGTATTGTTTATCTATGCTGGAGGGGTGGGGTGGGATGGCACAAATTCAGTTTGCCTTGAATAGTTGCGTAAGTGACTGCCTATATGCCATACACATTCTATCTCTCCATAATAGAAGAGTCATTTGCATTCAGGTCCTATAGAAATAAGAACCCAGTGAGAATTGATAGAGAGTAGTAGGAAAGTCAAGACCCAGCCTGGGAGTCATTGATGAAGTAATGGAAATATGAGAACCATACTTTTGAAAGAAAACAACTAAAACCTTTTAATTTTAATCAATTCCAGGAGCATAAACTTCAGCCCTCAAGTTTCAATTTGGTTTATATGTAAAATTTCCTAGATATTCCATTTTTAACTCTTTTTCCAAGCATAGAAAACCTTGGTGCCTACACAGCACCCGTCTTTGCCTCCTGTTTGACTATGCAAAATTTTCACCTAACAATTCTCCTCCTTTTAATCCTTTTCCAGATTTAATTTGTAAATAATTATAAATTGCTGCTCTTGAATGACCAAACTAAAATAATCAAACGCATTTCATTCTGTACCTATTTACTTACAAACTCTCCCAGTCTGTGTGCCTTCCTCATGAACAATCTGTATATCAGTCAAGTCAATCAGGACCTTGAGAGCTTGTTGGGAGGTTCTAGCAGGGGAGCCCAGCCACTCATTTACCCTCAACAGAAGACCGGCCCATCTCTTTTTGTGGAAGGCCGCCCTTCCAAGCAGCTTGACAGGAACGCACATGGAGGGGTGAAGGAGTAAGGGATAACTACCTAGCCTGCCAGAGCAGCTGAGTCAACTCTGGAGATCAGTGGTGTGAGATGTTGCAGCCAGATAGCCCTCACAGCCTTGTCTAGTCCTACCTTCTCTGTGTGCTAATGAATAAACACTCCAAACTTACTCTTAGTAATGAAGTGGCAGCTCCTCATTCTCTAACTGCATTTTTTGGGAATAGGGAGAAAGGAGAGAGAAAGAGAGAGAGAGAGACAGAGAGACAGAGAGAGAAAGAGAGAAGGAGGGGCTTCCATGTGCTGCTCATGAGTTCTAAGGGTCCTGCTGGAGGGCTCTACCCACCAGTGCTCAGAGGTCTCAAGGGCTGTACCTAGTGATGCTCAGGGAACCATGGAATGTTAGGGATACAACTGGGACCGACTCCAAGGATGCCATGTGCCTTATTTCTTTGTCCCCATGAGCTGCTAACTTCCTTTCTCATTCTACAGATGCTCCACTTTAATCCCATTTCAGGACGTGGAAACTCTTCTAATACTCAGGTAAGGACAATATGCTCTTCTGGAAAAGAGACTGTGAGACGATCCTTAGAAAAATGAACAGGTCACCAATTGAGTGTCAATAATGCTATCGACTCTTTTACCTTTTTTTTGTGGTTCCGGTGTTTCATGTCAGAGATCTCACACATGCCAGACTTATGCTCTGAAACACATGTCCAGTACTCACCATCCTTATTTTGTTATTATTATTTTTTTAATTTTTATTAGTGAGACACCATGAGGCACAATTGTAGACTTACATATTTTGTGCTTGGGTTTCAATTATATAATGATCAAATACCCATCCCTCCACCAGTGCCCATTTTCCACCACCACAGATCCCAGTATCCCTCCCACCCACAGCCCCCCATCCCCCCTCCCTCTGTGGCAGGGCATTCCCCTCTGTTCTCTGTCTCCTTTTGGGTGTTGTGGTTTGCAAAAGAGGCATTGAGTGGCAATCATGTTTGGTCTATAGTCTACTTTCAGCATGCTTCTCCCATCCTGGGAGGATTTATTTTGTTATTTTTAAATTTAATTAATTCATTCATTTTTGAATCACCATGAGATACGGTTACAAAACTTTCATGATTTTCATGATTGAGTTTCAGCCGTACAATGATTGAACTCCCATCCCTCCACTATTGTACATTTCCCACCATCAATGTCCCCAGTTTCCCTCTCAACACCCCCTCCCCACCCCACCCCCTGCCTCTATGTCAGGCACTTTCCACGTTACTTTCTACTTTTAGGCATTATGATTTGCAATACAGATAGCGAGAAGTCATCATGTTTTTTTTAAATTTAATTTTTAACTTTTTCTCTCCGTCCTTTAAAAATAATGATTGAGAGCTCATTATGCATATCCCACATGCAATAAAATTAAAACGTTTCCACCACTTTCCTTCGTTGCTATCATTGTTGTTGCAATGACTGGGGGCTGCCCAGGTGTCCTAAGTTGCTGAGACTTTCCCAGGTTCTCAAATACAATATTTGATAGCAAACTCACGAATTGTAATTCATTCATTCATTCATCATCCTGTTATTCGTCGATTGCCTCGAGCAGGCCCCAGTAACGTCTCCTTCATCCTAGCCCTGAGATTATATTCAAGGCTCTTTAGGAGAATGAGACCCATCATTGTTACTGGTATTTGGCATATTGGGTACGCCACGGGGAGTTTGCCAGACTCTGCCCTGTGGGCAGACTACATTCGGTAGCCTGCAAGTTTGTCCAAAGTAGGAATGAGATAATAAGATGTCATAAAAAGATGTCCTGATAAGATGTCCTTGGCGCTGTGTAATCCCATCAACGGCCAAGACTCAGAGACTATAAAATCCAGCTCATGAATTGTAAGTTTACCAATATTTTACTGGTGTGTTGGCCAGATTTTAGCAAGAAAACAGACCATGAGCTTTGCTTTATTCTTTGATGTTCATAGCTAGCTTATATTGGTAAAATTAACTCGTCCACACTATTAGTCAAATTAATAGTATTCTGGTAACAAATTTAAAATTCATTATTTTTATTTCAGCAAGTCCTTGAATTAGCTTTTCCTAGCAGACACTACTATGGGAAAAAGTGAGAGGTCACAAATTTAGGTAACATTGTTTGCTGCTTTTTGAGACTCAATTTTTCATCTTTTAGGGTGCTTGAGGGGTATTCCCAGCTTTGGGGTCATTCCTGTTGGTGCTTGGGGAAACCATACAGTATCCAGGATAGAATCCAGACCTCAGCACGCAAAGCATGTGCTCAGCTCTTAGCATATCTTTGCAGTTCAAGAACAGATTTTAATATATATTTTAAATTTGAAATAACAGGCAGGACTCCAGTCTCAACTGAAAAAGGTTCTCTATGATATAAACTCATCCCACAAATATTATGATCTCCGCATCGCCAATGGTCTTTTTGCAGAAAAAGTGTTTGACTTTCATAAGGTAAGTGCAGTCTCCCATGTTAGAAGGTTATTTTTACTCTATTTCTCACCTCATCATTTACAGAAAAGTCTGTACCCTTTATTTTTAGCCACACAGGCATAATTTTTCTCCCTTTTGCCACTATGAATTATGTGCCTGGGGTTTCAAAATGCCATCACCCCGTTTCTCAAAGTATGCCTGGTTTCTTCACGGAAGTATCGTACATATCCAGGTCATCACGCAGACAGGTCCCAGAGAGAAGTCCCCTGGCAGTGATGTCGGGGTGGGATTAAAGGTGGGATTAGAATGGCAGGAACCAGTGGCTGATTTAGGATTGCTCTTGGATAATAGGAAAGAGTTTATCTTCTTTCCCTCTGAGGTTGGAGCCCACTGCGGTAGACTTGGTCCTACTTCTTCATTCCCTTTCTTCTAACTCATGCTTTTTTATCTCTCCTTCCAGCAGTTATTATTATTATTGGTATTATTATTTTTTTCACCGGTTGAAAAGTTTCTAGTTGGAGACAAAGCCAGGTACATCCTGCCATTTACAGAGGAGCTTCTCAGCCTTGGCACAGAGGTGGGGTGGGTTCCCTTGAGGTCAGCAAGCTCAGTTTAGTAATTTGATAAGAGTGTTTGTGTTGATCACTGAACACAGAGCTTGCGCACCAGTAAACCAGAGTGATGCAGAACTCACTCCAGATGCTCCTACCCGAGAACACATGTTTATCACTGACCACAGCAGCAGCTGGGTAGTATCCTTCAAGCAGGCACTGTGCCCACTCTACTGACAGTTTGCTCTCTCTCCCAGTTCTTCTCTTCGTAGACTACTAACACGCTCTGTCACGGAGCCTTATATGGGCTAATCTCCACTTGTGTCTTTGCCAGCTCTCTGTGTTCCACCCACCACCATTGTTTCTTCTGTCATCACCCACTCAAATTCTTTGACCCTCCCAAGTCCTTTTGCAACTTGTCAATCATGAAGCATTAAGTCACCTGAGTTTTCAGTCATCCCAAGAGAACCCCACAGGAGTTTATAGAGACATCCCTGGATGTTCAGCTCAACACTTGATTTCTTTATTCCTGTGCCTGTAAGTGTGTCTCTGTAGGGTCAGCCAATTATTTTATTTAGTCTTATTGTTTACTCAGATTCTTTAATTTTTGGTCACACATGGTGGTGCTTGGGGTCTACCGTCAGTTTTATGCTCAGGGGTTGCTCCCAGTAGTGTTTTGGGGACCATGTGGACCCCAAATCAACCTAAGTTCTCCTACATGCAAATCTTGCACCCAGTATTTTGAACTCTAATCCTGGCTGATTTAAAATTTATTTTTTATTAAGGTGCTGTGATCACAAAATTATTCATAATAGTGGAGAGCCCGGCAAGCTACCGAGAGTATTCGATATGCCAAACACAGTAACAACAAAGTCTCCAATGGAGACGTTACTGGGCCCGCTCGAGCAAATCGACGATCAACGGGAGGGCCTTTACCTTTTTACCTTACCTTAGTGTTTCAGGCAGAAGTGTTCTGACACCAATTCCACCACCAGTGTCAACTTCCCTCTGTCCCTAGGACCTGCTCCCCTTACTCGGACCCTGATTGGCTGTTATAAGTAAAGTTACGTGTCTCTTATCCTACTACCTATACCAAATTTCCATTTTTGAGGTGTGATTAAAAACATGGAAAATAAAGACATTGAAAAATTTCCCTCCAAAACACAAGTTAATGATTCTAAAAATTTGATAAAAATTTGGTTATCATCAATTATTTTCCATCATTCAAATAAGTTCAAAAATAATTTATGTTTTTATATATTTTGTTTTTATAAACTTTTTACACTCACATCTGTTATGGATAAATTTATTCATGATAACTCAAAATTATTATGAGAAGACTCTAACAATGTATAAATTGTCTTTACAAAAAGCATACTATTATCAAATACTTCATCACAATCTTTGTTATTTTGTTCTTTCCTTTTTGCTCCAATCCATGACAATAGTCACTGGATCAGACCTCCATATATTCTTCAACCCTGTCACCTTTTGGGTAACTTCATTGCCCCTGTAGATGTTTCAGCTTCCTTTCTCACAGTTTCTTGCTCTTTTTCTTCTTTTAGTAACTGATACTTCTTTTAGTAACTGATACTTCTTTTAGTAACTGATACTCAAGACATACCCTGAAACTCATCAATACCCAGAACTCTTCCACTTCTAAAATCTACACTCCCATTCTGTGACTACATTATTGTAAAAAACTATGCACGCAGAAGGTTGTGTGTTTGCTGGCTCTCTGGACGGCTCTATCTTACCGCCAGCGTTCGGTGACCTAGAGCTGCTCTGTATGGCCTGGATCGGGAAGGCTGTTGGCTAAGGGCAGATGTAGGAAGAGATGAGCGCCAGGCTGGTTGATCTTAGCAGCAGTTAATTACCAGAACTTTATCCCATAGAAAAAATTTATGTTATGGTTCTCTCAAGCACTTGTTCCCCTTGCTAGTCTCTCCGTGGTCCATCTTGCAGCCCTGCTCTCTCCTCTCTCCAGCTCTCTTGTCTCTCCAATCCCCTTGCAGTCTGGGCTGACACTCCACCCAGTCAGGTAGCCAAATCAACATAAGAAAGCCCTTCCTGAGGGCCCATCTAAAAAGTTTTCTAAAGCCCTTCCTGACTGCCCAAGGGCAAAATACCTCCTAAGGTGTTTTTCTCTTTTCCTCAGTTCAATAAATATCAACATATCAATACTAGCTATTTTTGCATGGACACAGTAAGAGATGACATTGAGACTTGTAGGGCAGCTCTCCTGGGAACATCTTGCCACAGACAGACTACAGAGCTCAGGCCAGATTAATCATTCCTAACCCTAGCAGGGTCCAAATCTAGTTCTTACTTTTTGGATCATGACAGCATTTGTCCATGACCAAGCTCTTAACTTATAGTTAGGCATTATGGCGCTTTGTCCAGGCGCATCTCGATGCCAGGGTAGCACATGCCTTACCTGCTTGCCCTGGTTCCATCCAGTCCCTCGTTGGGACCCTGCTTTGGGGGCACTAGGAACTGAGTGCAACTGAGTTGAGAAAGCAGATGCCCAGGAATTGAAATTATCACTGAGAGTCACATTACAAAAGCATGTCTTGTGTCCATACAAAAAGGACATTGCTCTGAATAAACTATGCAAAGGACTTAGGGAGAAGAGAAAAAACAGTATTTACAAGTCAACATGATGTCGGTGGACCCCATGGGTGGCTCACAAGAGTCGGGAGGAGAGAAAGATGATCACTTTCTCTCACTCCGCCTCTGCCACCCGAGTCTCTGGGTAGGCTAGGATTGGTAAAGTCTGCAGTGAGCACCTGCTCTGCAAGAGCCTAAGCCCCGCCAGCCCCACAAGGTGGCCGTCAAGCCACACCTGAAGTCCGCTTGGTCTTCTTGGCACGGGAGTTTATCCCCGCCACCCGATTACTTGGGGAGCCATGGACTCAAGTTGGGGAGAGAATTTGCTCTTTGCAGGAAAGGAGAGACCAGTCCCAAGCCTTACCCGGAGTTTCTAGGGTTCTTGTCTCGCTCGCAGAAAAGAATTTCAGGAGTAGACGAGCAATGAAGTAACAGATTTTATTTGGAGGCTTTTGGAGAGGGAGAGAAAAGGATAAGCAGATGAGTGGGGGGATGGAGAGTAAGAGAGAGAGAGTAATGCGTCCAGAGAGAACCCAGGCTTCTCCGAGGGTGGAGAGAGCCCCAAATGGGCTCTTGAGCTGGCTCTTATAGATACTTCTGACTCAGAATGTTCTGGAATCTCCTTGGGGCTGGGTCGCTGGAGTTAACCGGATTGAAAGGGAGGTTCGAAGAACCTTCGAAAAGGAGGAATTTCATGGGGAGGAGGCCCATATCTTTAGGGTCTGGGGATGGTATTATCAGGTCTTTGTTTTCTGTATCCACAAGGTGGATCAGTCCTAGAATTCTTCTTCCATGAAACTTTGTTAATTCAAGTTTCATCACCAAGGGCCTTTCCCTATCTTCCTGCCTACATCAAACAGAGCACAAAGAAGCTACAAATAAACACAGAGGAATGAGAGCACTGTGATGGGAGCAACCCAACAAACCTAACCTACCCGAGGCTATGCAGGAAGGACAAAACAGTGTTATCCTACACATTATCTCTTGCTTTTACTTCTCTCCTTATTTAATCCCCACTCTACTGCCTGCTTTTAATAGCGCATACATTCGCTCTAAACACACATTTTTCTAAAGATTTTTTTCTTTTGAAATCTATCCTATGTTTCTGTTTTTATTACCCTGACGATAGCACTGTAGCACTGTTATCCCGTTGTTCATAGATTTGCTCAAGTGAGAACCAGTAATGTCTCCATTATGAGACTTGTTGTTACTGTTTTTGGCATATCGAATAAGCCACACGGGGAGCTTGCCAGGCTTTGTCGTGCTGGTGGGATATTCTCAGTAGCTTGAGGGGCTCTCTGAGAGGGACCCCGGAATCGAGCCCGGGTCGGCCGTGTGCAAGGCAAATGCCTTACTCGCTGTGCTATATTTTCCAATGTATGGAGCATACTATCTTATTTTTCACCTTCTTTCCTTCCACAGCAGTTGCAGTTTGGCCTCTAGCTCCTTCTCCCAAAACTGCCTTTATCAAGGTTAATATTGATAAAGTTCCGAGCCATAAAAACTTGAATCTTTATTTTATCTGTACTCAGCACTACTTGATGCTCCTTGGGACTTTCTTCCCTTCTGGTTTTCACGGTATTGGTTTCTGGGCTACCTTGTCCTTTGTTTCCTTTTAGTCTTCCTTATCTATGTTCCTCTACTCATCTCTAATATTTTATGTTCTTTAGAGCTCATCCCTGAAGTGTCTTCCATTTTCACTCTCCCTGGAAGAGATGATCTACTTGGAGAGTCTATAGTTCCTTGACTATTCAAGTTTCCCAAGCTCCATAACATTCTTCCTCCCACCTCCAAGCCACACACATCTCTGTCCTCAGGTGTGAATGTGCCGATTCTTAACACTCCCTCTTTCCTCATCCC